CCTATAACTGAAGTTGGGTTTTCTATTATAATTATTGAAGTGGTGAACATAATTAAGTCAACTGAGTCAATATCCAACTAACAATTTTTGTATTTTTGGGCAATCATTATCCATCTTTAGAGCTACTAATAGCCACTCATTGAGCCCTTTCTAACCTTCGCATGCTATAGTAAAAAAACAACAAAATCTCACCTTACATTTCAGTGAAATTAGCAGCTTTCTATAATTAATTGTGGTTGCCTGACTGGCTGGATGCAGATTAAATTTAGCATTATATTGATGCAAAAAATATACCAGATTGCACTATTTTGGGTTATTCAATTTGCTGGAGGAATAGGTCCCTAGACGCTCCATAGAAGTAGTAGAGTCTACAGCCTTTGGTGTTCACACAGAACTTCACACATCAAAATTTTATTCATTCAAAAGGCTCACCCACATAAATTCCTAAAAGTTAGCAGCCCTGTATCTGTATTTTTACTATATTCAACTTAAGTTTTAATGAAAATGTTATTCTCTCTCTACTGTGTATTAAATACATTTTATCATTTGCCTGTAGGGCTCAACTCATAATTATTATCAAGAAAGCTAGAAGTCCAACGTGTTCATTGAACATTCAATAATGAAAGTTCCTACAGAAGAGCAAAGTGCACTGGCTGCAGAAAATGGGGTGAAGCTCCTTTCTGTCCCCACCCCAAAGATCCTCCGAGCACCACCAACATCAAAGGAGGAAAATGAGGATATAGAAAATGTGTCTTCCATGGAGAGAGGTGAATGGAATGGGAAGCTGGATTTTGTCTTCAGCTGCATTAGCTATGCCGTTGGCTTAGGAAACGTATGGCGATTCCCCTATTTGTGTTATGAAAATGGAGGAGGTGAGGAATTTATCACAGTATTTGTAACATTGATATCACACAGCAGTATTCTATGTCTGTATTTCTTTTTAGGAGGAGAATAGATCTAACTAAAATGAATGTTTGGATGAAATGCTTCCCTGCACTACAAACAAGTGGTGGTTGCTCTAGAGTATTTATGGAATTTGACATGATATTTCTGTTGTAAGTTAGGCTGTTTTTATGAGGAAGTGGATATGAAATATTATTTTAGTAGATATTAACATATACAAGTTACAATTAATTTGCACAAGAAAATGTTCATATTATTCAGGTATCGTGTATAATATCCAATATCATTGGAAAAAATATACGTAACTTGTCTGTGAAACAATTTTGCTCATTGTGGTTAGTCTGTGTAACAGTTTTACACATTGACAGGTTAACATGCATAATTCTGACTGGATATTATGTACAGTGTGTGTGGTAAATGTTCATAATTCCCTCTGTCTGATGTTCACATTGTAATGTAAGCATGTGTAATTCACAATGGATGAAGTATACATTGTCTGGCTAACAAGTATAAGTGAATAATTTGCATATTCTTCAATTATTTTAGAAAATAATATCATTGGAAAATGTATTTATGTTTCTTTTGCACTAAATTAACAAAATGATTTATATGCATAATGAAGTGGTATATTTTGGAGGGAACATACTACATGTTTCAACAGAATGTTGGTCTGACAGAGCAATATATATATATATATATAGAGTAAGAGAGAGAGAGAGAGAAATTGTGTTTTTAAGTGTACTTGAGGAGAGTTTCATGTGAAAAGTTAATATCATTCAATGAAGCAATATCTGAATTGTTTTTATTTTAATTTTAGGTGCTTTCCTCCTTCCATACCTAATCTGTTTGGTATTATGTGCTATCCCACTGTTTTTCCTGGAGGTAGCTGTTGGCCAATACCTTAGCACTGGTGGTATTGGTATATGGAACTTAGTGCCAATGTTTAAAGGTATGTCAACCCCATTTACATATCTCTTCTATTTTATCCCCCAATACAGAGTGTCCCAGTCATTTTCTTTGTTTTTGTTACCATCATACTTATAAATGTGTGTTTATGTGTATGTATAATAATAATAACCACCAATGACAATGGTTTGACGTGTTTGTCACTTGGCAAAGATTCCTTGTGACTGAGTAAATATATTTTCTTTTTTATATATTTAAAAGAAATATTTGCTTTGGAAAGGTTTTGTAGGATAACAATTTGTTGTCCTTCCAGAGGTTCCTGTTACAAACAAAGTTGTAGCTGAGAAAGACTGGAAAACTTGTATCTAAAACATTGTCATTGTTTGCCTGTTTGTTTTTGGAGAAATTACTGTATGAAATAGTTTTGTTACTGAATGCTAACAAGTGCTCAATGAATGCAAAAATCAGATTTTGTTTTTTCTGGGACACTCTGTATGTCAGTGTCAGAGTTCAAACGTTTGTATAAAATTTTCAACAAATCCTGACCATCAAAATCATTTCAAATGGCATAAGACTTCACATAAAGTACAAACATAAAGATTACTTTTCATGAAACTTGCATTTTTGAAATGTTGTTTAGATATATGTATTTCATATATCTAAATCTTGATTAGCTATCATGACAAATCCAAAGGTTACCATATTGTTGAAAATGTTCAGACGTATGAACTCTACCTCTCATGTGAGGACTTTGCAATAATGGTGTCAGTTGGACTTCAAACATAACACCGAGAATAAAATCCCAAATAAATAAAATATTGCCTAGTGGAAATTTGTACTGTTTAACAAAAAAAAAAAAAGAAAGAAAAGGATGAACACATTTCATTGAATGCCTCATCAGTATGATTGGTTAATTTAAAGATTAACTTTGTATCTTGATGTTATACATGAAGTCCATGTCTAAACCCATTCACTAATCTGAGGAAAGAAGAAATCATGAGACTGTCATGATGTCCAGAGGAAATGAAATGACAGAGAACTTTCACCAAAAATTTATATTGTATAGTGGACTGTTGCAAAGATAAACATAAAGACAGGTAGAAAACTTTAGGGGATATGAAACCTAATTAGCACAAATTTTGTGTGTGTGTGTGTGTGTGTGTATTTATCCATTAATCTACGTTTTTATTAGTAACCTAGGTAGCTGCTTGTGAAGGTTCTCTGTTGTTCCATTCCCTTAGTATTAAGTTAAAGAAATAATTCTAACATTGTTCAGCCAGTATGTTTGTCATCATCCAGATGTAATTGGCAATAAATTTTTATTGGTCCTAGCTGTTTTTATTAAGAGGTTTCAACAAAAGTCTTTAGTTTTACCATTTTTCTTGGTTTGTTATTAAAAGCATAGATGTTATATAGAGGAAAATATAATAAGTTGACAATCTCACTGGCTGAACTAACTGGAAGTGTGGGTACATACAGTTTGAGGCAGCTTCATTCTATTGTACATGAGATAAAAGTAAAGCTGGTTAAAGTTTAAGTAGTGAAACGACCAACATTGTTGATATGATGGGATTTCTGAAAAACTAATCCACTCAATCATTCATGGCAACTTTATGGTGCTTTTCTCCTGAATGATCAAATTGCATAATCATTCAATTTTGACACTCTTCAATTTGTTAGAGCTTTGGCGGGAAATTGTTGGAGCGCATCACAAGACACCTGACGTAAGTATTTTGGAAACCGAACAAAAAGCAAAGTTTATAATTTTGAAAACTTGTTTTCTTTCTTAATGATAAAATCAGTTTCTAACATTACTAATTCACATTTTTATAGCAACTTCCAATATAAAAAGTAATTTTAAAATAAAAAGTCATACATATATTTCTTTAGATATTCATCAAAATTTACATTCCAAAATTTATTTGAAATAATTTTTCGTTTCACTGAAACGATTTTCTGGTTTTCTTATCTTTCCTACTGTCATAATTTGACAGTAGGGTCACCGTGACAATTGTATGTTCCAGTGGGCCTAGTCTTCATCGTGGAGCAGCGAGTAACCAGGTCAAGACACGTGGAATCATCCGCGTGAGCCACAATCAGCTGCCACAAGTGTAGTTGGTAGGGCTGTAGCAAAGGAAATTAAGCTTACTTTAAATTCTTTTACATTCATTCACCTTCAGTACTATCTAACTGCCATGTGAACGAGCACTGGTGACTTCTTCTTGGTCTATTCAGTTTTAAATTGTTGGAGGTTTATCAATCAACAGAGCTATAGATAAACATCGTTTTTATTATGAGTAAGACATAATAAATCTTTAAATGTGATAATTGACAGCAATTTGATAAATATTTAAAGCACACTCTTAATTTAAAAACTTCAAATTGGTATCAAGAAGAAGACCTCTGTGACCATTCTTAATGGTAGACATGACAGTTTTTTCTTTCACTGGACATAACTATTTCAATGGCTTTAACATTCAATGGTATTTAACAATTAAAGTAACAACCAAGGTATTGAACAGAATGACATCATTCACACATTGAACTTATATTTTCTGAATGAAAATTGCATCAAAAAAGTGGGCATTCTTTATGTAGATTAGTAAAACTTTTTTTTTTTATATATATAAGTTCCTTTTACTAACAGTAGACTAAACTTTCGAACCTATTTTTTGTACTTAAAGGTGAACTAAGATGTAAAGTATCAATACAATATGATTACTACTTTCAGATAGTGTCATTATCAGAACTATTAGTTTAAATATTCTATTCTAAATCTACAAATTATAACTATATTGCATAATCAAAGATAAAATACCTTCGAAAGTTTAGGTGGTATTTTCTTGGAAACTTATGTATTTGTCTGTGTCCAGACATTGACATGCTTGCTCTTCTGTATTGTTTGTTTTTTAAATTCTGTTTTCCCACCATTTAGTTTTTATTATGCTTAATTTAGAATTTTGTTTGCGAGACTGAAATGGTCATGAAAATATTCATTAAAAAGGTTGAATTGAACATGCATATTTTATTTGTGAGATCTCTTGAAATTATTGAGTGTGTGTGTGTTTGTTTATGTTGGTTGAGAAACTCAGATTTCTGTGAACCAGTTCAAGCTTGGTTGGTGAAAACTCATTGATAAGTTTCGAAATCCCTGTGAGAAAATATTAAACTTTTCTTTTTTTCAGCTTAAAAACAGTTTTCATAAAATAACTAGCAACACTAATAGAATATTAGTTCCTGCATAAAACTTGTATAATGAATGTAAGTTTAGTTATTTTAGTTTATTAAAATCCTGGAATTGCTTATGTGATTCAGAATCTCGTATGTTCAAGCATATAATAGTTGTATCTGTTATCAATAAGTCAATGACTATGAATTAAACATTCATATTCAGTTATTTATTAAATGTAAGATGAGAACTGGGAGAAAAAAAGACTAAGACATGGTATAAAAATAAGATCTGAGAGATTTGATGAAAGTAATTAATTAAATAACTGAAACTGAACTTAATTTTACTGCAAACACTGATTCCCATTTACCCTCTAAATGATGCTAATAATAAATGTAAAAGAATACACAGTAAAAAACGTGAGAGAAACCATTTACACTTGGTTTCGGGGAATATACATTTCATACTAAAGGACCAAAACAGTTTGTAATAAATGTTACTGATGCAAAATATTAATAACTTTTGATCAAAAGTAAGCTAACTATATAGATTAGAACTAAAAAGTAACTTATGAATTAATGAAGACAATTCTATTTAGCAAACAAACGTAATTTGATAAATCAATACATAAGAAAATTAAAAACCTATGATGACTAAAGCACTGAAACATCATTTGGGTAACTCCACTGTTAATTATCTTAGCAGCCATAATTCCAATTATGTTAATAATTAAAAATATTTTAAACATTACAACTGATAATTTTGATAAAACTAATATTAAAGAAAATGAAGTAGGTTATCTAACCGTGTACTATGAGAGCAGTACAATGTTATCAGATTATACACTAAAATATGTTCATTGTGGATATTTCTTTGATTTTGAAAATGTTAAATAATGTTTTTAGTTGGTTAAAAAATGAATATAAAAAATACTGACCAAGCTGGTTATTTGGTTCTTATTTTTGTGTGGTGAGTGAGTGAGAGAGAACTAGGTTAAGGAAGACGAAGTTAAGTTTGTTACATTGCAGATTTACCCCGGTATTCAGTGGTTTTCGGCAGGAGATCCAGTGTTCACTGAAGTGCTGGCTTACTTTTGCAGCTGTGGTTTCAAGTAACTACTCTTACAAACTTAACGTCAAATGAGGTTTAGCAAAAGTATCACTTTTATGTATGTGTGCGAGCGTATCATTTTTGTTGAAAGGGGCTTTTGCTTTAATTAATTTCTGTTATGATTATAAAGTATTCTAATATTATCTAAACTGAATAGATGTTTTGAATAAACTCAAAGGTTTTTTAAAAACCACTACTATCCTAGTAAAATTATGAAAAGTGATGTCCAGCTCAGCCCCTAAAGTTAAGATGGAGACTCTAAATCTAAGCAAATGTAGGACTCAAAAAAACAACTGATATTGTAATATAAAAACTAAACCAGTAAACTGTAAAATTAACAGGATTCTTTTTTCTGTTGTAGAGCTAATTCATTTTTGGTGAAGCATATTTTCATTGAATACAAAATTACAATATTTGTAATTATTATGAATATATAATTTAATTTTACAACTGGTTTCCTACTTTTGTGTGGTTAGAGTCTTAATTGTTAAAGTTTTATAACATGTTTGAGATATTATAAATAAAATAGAGAAGTATTTACTGACTATTTTTTGTTAGTAAAAATTTTCCTACCTAAATGTTTTGTGAAGATTTTTAAGAGTCTC